TTTGCAATGTGGTTTGCGTTACCACAGCGTCAGCCATGGAAGGGGCTCCTTGAGTCAGGCAGGAAGCAGAAACTATCAGATTTAGACTCCACATTCCAGGCATTGTATACAATTATCCGCCAGAGCTACATAGGGGCACACGAGGCCCACAGAGGCTGAAAAAGGGATTGATATCAGGCAAGGGGGTCACTCTTTCATCAGAAACCAGTTGTGTTCTTGGCAATCATCAAACCCAAAAAACCCATTGCCGTCAAGTCAATTCCGACTAATAGTGACCCTATAGAAAAGAGTAGAACTGCCCCATAGGGTTTCCAAGGCTGTAACGTTTATGGATGTGAGGATGGCACAGCACTGGCAGTGTTTTGTTCTGTTGTACATGGGGTCACTGTGAGTCGGAAGTGACTCAGCGGCACCTGACAACAACAACAATCTTTATGAAACCAGATCGCCACATCCTTCTCCCCTGGAGCGGCTGGTAGGTTCAAAGCACCAACCTATCCGTAGCTGAGCGCTTAACCACTGTGCCACTAGGGCTCCTTTAGCAAGCATCAGCTGTGTCCAAATCTCCCTGCAGGGCAGACTAGGGAACCCCGGGAGCAGGGATGAGACCCCGACTCCAGGCATTGGTGACAGGCATGGGACCAGCACATGCGACAATGGGGAGTCCCCTTTTTTGCAGCTGATTAGATGTAAGCGCTTCCTTAGACCATCCTCAGCTGTCTTCTCTCCATGCTCTCACCACGGGGCTTCACCCTGCTCTTAACTTCAACAGCCTCCTCTCTACTCATCACTCCCCCATCAGGGTCTCCAGCCTAGGTCTGCCTCCTGAGGTCCAGAGCTATATATGCTGTCACCTCAATGCCCCCAGCCCGCAAACACCACCCGTCCAAAACAGAACTCATCATCCCACCAAAAACGTGCTCTTTCTCCAGGTACCCTGTCAAAGGGAATGGTAGCACAATCCAGCCCCTCACAGGAACCCAACTGCAGTGGCATCTTAACTCCTGCCCACATTCACTCAATTATCGAGTCTTGACCCATTCTGTTTCCTAAATGTCTCTCTGGAGTCCCTGGGTGGTGCAAATGGTTAACATGCTTGGCTCCTAACTGAAAGGTTGAAGGTTCAAGTCCACCAAGAGGCACCTTGGAAGAAAGTCCTGGCAATCTACTTCCAAAAAATCAGCCATTGAAAACTCTATGGAGCACAGCTCTACACTGACACACATTGGGTCACCCTAAGTTGGAATTGACTCAATGGCAAGTGGTTAAGTCTCTCTCCAGCCTGTCTCCTCCTGAGCTGCCATCACCCTGGTTCATGCTACCATCATCTCTTGGATGGATTGCTCTGCAGCTCTGCTCAATTTCTTGCTGTCTTAGTCATCTAGTGCTGCTATAACAGACATATCACAAGTGGATGGCTTTGGCAAAGAGAAATTCATTCTCTCACAGTCTAGGAGGCTAGAAGTCCGAAACCAGGGTGCCAGCTCCAGGGGAAGGCTTTCTCTCTGTTGGCTCTGGGGGAAGGTCCTTGTCCTCAATCTTCCCCTGGTCTAGGAGCTTCTCAGAGCAGAGACCCTGAATTCAAAGGACGTGCTTGCTCCTGGCTCTTCTTTCTTGGTGGTAGGAGGTCCCTCTGTCTCTCTGCTTGCTTCTCTCTTTTATATCTCAAAAGGGATTGACTCAAGATACAACCTAATCTTGTAAATAGAGGCCTGCCTCATTAACATAACTCTCTCTAATCCTGTCTCATTAACATCATAGAGGTAAGATCTACAACATATAGGAAAATCACACCAGATGACAAAATGATGGATAATCACACAATACTGAGAATCATGGCCTGGCCAAGTTGACACACATTTTTGGGGGGCACAATTCAATCCGTAACACTTGCCTTCAGCATGCCGTGCTCCAAACCACTGTCCACAACGTAGCTGGTCAGGTCACTCCCTGCTCACAGCTCTCTGGTGGTTTTGCATTGTCCTCCCGATCAGTACAAAGTCCTCGTCTTGGTGCCCAAGTCTCTCCAGGCCTGGCTCCTGCTTGTCCCTTGCTCTTGTCCTCCCTTCACCCCTTTCTCCTGAATTCTATGCTCTTTCTGATCTCTGGGGCTTTATACATGACATAACTTCTACTCTATTCCATCTGCTCTTATTTCTTCAGATCTTACCTTAGATTTTGGCTCCTTTAGGAAGCTTCTCTGACCCCAACCCCACCCAAGTACAGTAAAACCTCAGAAAGCCAGAACTTGTGTAAAGCGGAACCTGTCAGAGAAGGAAAACGCAAATATTTTCCACTAATATAGAGCGATAGAAAAGTGGTGAGACTGTACCCTGTCAAAGGCAAAAACCTGCAAGACCTAGAAAAATAAGGCAGTCCTGTTGAGTTCCAGCTCTCACAGGTTTCACGTGTATAAGGGCAAAGAAGTTCATGGAAGGCAGTGACTGTGTCTTAGTCACTGTGTACTACTAGCACCAGGACACTGTGTATGTTCAATAAACAGTTGTGCCATGGTGACTATGCAGCCACTGGCACTTCCCAGGGCTGCACCACACCTTGACTTCTAGAATCCTGACGTCTGTAACTGCTTTCTGATCAGACCCTGAACTCCTTTTCTTCTAAAGTGGGGCATGTCAAGTTCAACAACACATGGAATACTGTTTGTTGCCACCAACACTGCTCTGCAGACAGATGACAGGTGGCAGGCAGAGTGGACAGCAGTGACTGCCACCTGTCAAACCACTGCCCTTTCATTCATTCAAGAAAACTTTCATTCATTCAGCCATCCTTTGATTCATTAGTGCTTATTTTGTCTACAGATATGAAATAAACCCCAACAGGTATATGAGTGCACATATTTATTAAAAAGATACATGGGGGAAATTTTTTTTTCATTTTTTAAAAAATTTTGCTGTAGGATTTCTTCACTGAAATGTGATTCAAATCTAGGCAAATAATGCTGTTGGTGGTGATAAAGCCAAGGCCAGTGAGCACCTCCTTTAGGGTGTGTGGCAGACATGACCCTATTGTCATTTGTGGTATCACTAAGCCCCAGCTTCTGTTGGCTCTTTGTCACTGGGGCTCTCCATGGAGAGAGCTACAGAATAGGGACAGGGTTTTGGACCTTTCTCCTGGCTTTGTTTCCAGACTTGGCTTTTCTTTTCCTGCAGGCGACACCTGGGCAGGTAACATGACCTCTCTGTTTCTCATTCCATGGAGAGTTGTGTCTATCATGAGAGGGTTTATTACACCCTGCAGGCCTCTACTCCTAAATCTCCTTCTAGGAAAACAAATCCCTTGACCCCACTGCTCTGGCCCCACCAGCAGCCATCTGAATGCAGGCCAGGGATCAGAGCCTCCTCCGTGGGCTCTGTCCACCCACCCAAGAGAGATTCTTTGAACCGTCCTGAGATCCCCTGCTAGGGAAGAGTGCCTGCTGGATACAGACTGTGAGCAGAGACCCTGGAGGAGAAGGGCAAGAGAAGCCAGAGGCAGCAGGCACATAGGCTGCTGGCAGGGTGGGTGGGGTCTGTCCTGGCATCCTCGAAGCCCAGCACAGGCCCAGAACCAAGTCCAAGCTTAGCAGATGGTTGTTGAATGAGTGATGAAGGATTAAATAAATGAGTGAAAGGTCAGGAGGGACAGAGGTGAGTAATTTCACAATGGGACTAGCAGTAGAAACTGAGCAGAGAGTAGCTGTTTCCTTAGTAGCTGAACCCAGAACAACACAAACACTCTCCCTCATTAAATGCCCATTACATGTCACACCCTGTGCTCAGTGTCTTATTGGTGGTTACAAAGAGCTGGAGAGTTCTGTTCATCAGTGTTCCAGGGGTGGTGCGGGTGGGGTGGGGGCTGGTTCTTGGGGAAAAGGCAGCAAGTAGAAGGCCCACGGCCACTTCCCAGAGGGTGGGGAGCAGCAATGGGAGGGGGCGCCCTTGGTCAGGAAGGTCAGAAATGAGCAGGACAGTATTCCCGAAAGAGGAGTCTGCACACACATAGAGAGGCAGAGAGTTTCAATGTCTGTACGACAGGGAAACTGTGGGGAGAGGGAGACACACACAAATAGTTTTCAGAAGCTTTAGTTAGGGAAGCCCTGTTTGCCTCTTTAAGGGCACCCGTTGTAAGGCCTCCGGAGTCAGGTGCCGTTTCTTTAGATTACACCCACAGAGGGGGTTGCACCTAGCTTGTCTACTGAGTTAGGCATCACTTCATTTGATCCTCCTAACAGATCTAGGGGACTCTCTGGGTGGTTCAGATGGTAACATGCTCCGCTGCTAACCTAAAGGGTGGAGGTTCAAGTTCACCCAGAGGCACCTCGGAAGAAAGGCCTGGTGATGTACTTCCAAAAAACCAGTCATTAAAAACGCTATGGAGCACAGTTCTACTCTGACACACATGAGGTGGTCATGAGTCAGAATCAGCCCCTGGAACAAAACCCAAAAACCTTCCCAGCAGGTAGGAGCTCTGGGCGTCCCTAGGGCCCGTAAGCACTGGCTGCGTTGTTTCCCCAACGCTCTCCCCAAGGCAGGGAGACCAAATAGTTTATAGTCCTAACCGGGGCACTGGTACGAGTGAAATGAGCGTTGTCACTACACTAGGACAACAGGCACAAACCGGGACTTCTGGTCACCTGAAAGGAAGCCTCTCCTCCCCTTTTCTTCCGTGTCTGCCGACCGACCTGTTGGACCAGGACTCCCGGACACCGCGCCGTCCTAGGCTCATGGCGAGAGGACGCAGCTCAGCTTGGACACAACTCAGCGGACGTGCGGGGCCGACTCCGAGGGTCCGGCCCTCTGCTCAAGTTCACAGCCCAGTAACCCGCAGAAGATTCGAAATCCACGGCGCCCTCTGAGACTAGATCACCCGGTGGCCACTAGAGGGCGCGCCAGGGCAGCGGGGAGGCGGTGCGGCCGCCCGGAGGCCGGAGTGGGCCGTGCGCGCTGGGCGGGGACACGGCGACGCTGGCACCGCCCGGTCTCGTGACCGCAAGCCCCGCCTGGAGCCGCTGCCGTCATGCAGTCACCGGCGGTGCTCGTCACCTCCAGGTGAGCCAGACCCCTAGGACCGGGCACAACGCCTGGGCAACTTGGAGACTGGGTGCGTCCGAGTCACGGCCCAATGCGCCCCAGGCGGAGGAGGAGGCGGCGGCGCGGTCGCCTCGAGGGTTTCCGTTCCTGGCCGGGATCTTCCCAGCGCTCTTTGGTGGTTTATCTGGGCTGGGCCTCTCCACCGCCATGTGGGAGAGTTGGGGCGGCATCGAGTGTCCCCGTTTTACAGATGAGCAAACTGAAGTCCCCTAGTGGGTAATGAACTCACCCTAGACCCATTGGAAGATCTTGGGACTGGCTGGCCCCGTGAAGGCAGTCAGAGACGGGGCACTCTTCTCTTCCTGCTGACTTAGCCTCATTTCTTTTTGTCCTGAACATCCTTTCTTTCGTCGCTTAACGTGTGCCAGGCCCAGTGCTAGGCACTGGAGATGGGTTGAAACAGACAAGGCCAGGCCCTGGAGGAAGAGACAGAGTTGAGAGGAGACCTGACCCGTGACTCTTTGCCGTAAAGATCCATTCCGACTCATAGCGACCCTATAGGACTGAGTGGAACTGCCGCATAGGGTTTCCGAGGAGCCGCTGGTGGATTCGAACTGCCAGTCGTGTGGTTAGCAGCGGAGCCCTTACCCACTGAGCCGCCAGGGCTACCGGGGGTGATAAATGCTGGCTGGGCAGTGAGCGCAAGTTGCCATGGGAACACAGTGCAAGGGCACTCACCTGGGCTTCTGGGAGGAAGTGAATAAGGCTTGCCCTGCAAGATGAGTGGGCTTTATCCAGGTGAAGGGGAGAAAGGAGGCGGCTGGAGGAGGGAACTCAGAGAAGTGCAAGTTATAGCAAAGGCCCGGAAGTGTCCTGGGTGGAGGATGTAGTGTGGGTCCACCTTGTTCCAGGCCTGGAAGACTCAGCACAAGATGAATCCTGGAAAGGCTGGGATCACATGGATTTACTGTTTTTTCTTTTTTAATAGCTGTAAAATGACTTCAAGAACTTTCATGTTCTCCATCCATGGTGCCCCTACACAAAAGCTTGTGCCAAGATGCCAGTTTATTACATAAATGAATGCATTACCCAGGTTCTGCAATCGGAACTTCCCTGTAACTTGAGATCTAGAAAAAAATGTCTCTTTAAGTAAACGCGAATGTCAGAACCTGCCTGGCCTCCTCTGGATGATACAGTGAGGTTACAGGTTGTATCTTTCTTGGCAGAAGAGGTTTCCTTAATGCTACATAAGTAGCCTCTTCTTCCTAAGCTGCCATTTCCTCTTGTGCAAAATGGAGGTTTGAAAATGACAGATACGAGCAATACCAGCAGCAAACACCCTTCTCACACCAGTGGAGGTGTGACTTTGGTGCGAGGTGCTTGGGACATGGGTGGCTTCTTTTACTGCCTAACCTGGACACGGTTTGCTAACAGACACAGGGGTGCTGGTGGGGAAGGCCACATGAGCCCATGCTTATTCCTTGTTGGTAGGACCAGCAGGTCCAAGGAGCTCACCTGCAGGATGAGTCCAAATGCCTTTGTCGAGCAGCTAAGTGATACCTTCACAATCAAGCCCCAACTTGTCTTTCCAGCCCAGCTTCCACCAGCTCGTCTCCACTTGTATTCATGCATTCATTCATCCAGCAGGTAGTTACTGAGGGTCTATTCTATGCCAGGTATTGGGTCAAGTTCTAGGATACAGCAGTGATCAAAACAAAGTCCCTCTCATGAAGCTGTAGTGTGGGCAGATGGAAGTAGGTAGATGTGTAACATATCAGGTGATGATACATGCGATGAAGGAAAGGAAACAGTAGGGGCAACAGAGTGATAGGCAGAAGTGAATGCTGTTCCCTGTGGTGTGATCAAGGGATGGCTTTCTGATAGTTTGGCAGTTTAATCGATCCCTGACAATTCCCTGAAGGAGAGAGCCATGAAGATGTCTTGCATCCGAGTGTACCTTGCAGAGGACTGAAGAAGCAAAGGTCCTGAGGCAGGAGTGTGCTTGGGTGTTTGGGGAACAGCAAGGAAGCCAGTGTGGCTGGAGTGGAGTGAGCTAAGAGGTGAGTGTTAGGCGAAGTGGTGAAGACGTGTGGGTTTGGGAGCAGGGGACCCACCGTGGGGGCCTTGTTGGCTGTGGTAAGGTCTTTGGATTTCATTCTGAGCACATTGGGAAGCCATAGGCACATTGGTGGTATGATCTGACTTACATTTTACAAAGATCCTTTGGCTGCTGTGTCAAACAGGGGCGGAAGAAGGAAATGGCTCAGGAGTCTATTGTTGTATCCAGGGTTGCGAGATGGTGGTGGCTTGGACCAGGGTGATGGTGGTAGAGAACTATGGGTTCTCGATATATTTTGAAGATAGGTCTTTCAGGTTTTATTGATGATCATATGTGGGGTATGAGAGAAAGAAGAGTCAAGACTAGCCACAAGGTTTTCGTCCTAAGTTACTGAAAGAGCGAAATTGCAATTTACTGAGATGGGGAGCATATGACAGGTGCGGGCTTGGGGTAAACGCGGGGATCAGGATTTGTGTAAAGTTTAATTTTAAGAAGCTTGTTGGCGTTCAAGTGAAGATGTCAGGTAGGCAGCTGGGAGAATGAGCCTGGCATGAGGGGAGAGTCTGGACTGGTGGATGTGATGTGAAGCCCTTGGAAGGTCTTCGACATTTTCTCAGTGAATGGGGAAGCAGCGCCATCAGCTGAGAGCGAGGAGGGGAGAGCAGGTTTTGGGGGTGTGCTGAGAGAGGTGGTGGAGCAGAGTGGGGATTTAGACTCCACAGCTTGCTACTCAACGGGTGGTCCCCTGGACCATCAGAGAGCAGCATTAGCACCACCTGGGAGCTTGTTAGAGCTGCAGACTCTCCAGCTTACTGAATCCCAACAAACAAGATCCCCAGGGGACTTGTATGCACATTCAAGTTCAAAAAACTTGTCTATGGCAGCAGTGAGCAAACTAATCCCGTGGGCCAGTTCCTGTGCCACTTGTTTTTGCAAATAAAGTTTTATGAGAACACACCCCTGTTTGTTTATGAATTATCTGTGGCCGATTACAGCTACAACTGCAGAGTTGAGTCATGGTGACAGAGCCCCTGTACAGAAAAAGCTTTCCTAGGGATCTAGGGGAGTGGGAGAGTGACTGGACTAGGCTCAGGTGCATCAGAACCACCTAGAGGGCGTGTTACACACCTTGCGGGGCCCACCCCCAGGGCTTCTGATACAGCAGCCTACCTTTGCCTTGTTAGCGAGTTTCCAGGCGGTGCTCGTGCTGCCAGTCCAGGAACCACACTTGGAGAGCCACTGCTCCGGGGCAGTGCAGTGGGGCTGCCAGGCCTGTGCTGCCAGCTGGAAGCTTGTGGCCATGAATTTCAAGTAGGGCCACCAGGCAATGTGGTGTGTGTTAATCCCCAGTTATGTTCAGCTGCCTGGGTAGACGTGCGGAGTAGGCGGAGAGTGGAGTCTCAGGCTTTTCCCAGGCAGTTGTGTACTCGGGGAGAGGTCAGGAACGCTGAGGTCTTACATAGTCATTCTGGCAGTGGAATGTGGAGTCCAAGCTGGTTGAGGCCTGGTGTGACAGGTGAGACGGTGGAAAGGTGGTGGATCTCTGGGTTATAGGTCCTGGGGTGGCCACAGAACTGTTAGAGGTGGGGTGCTCGGGGAGTGAGCTGCGCCGATAGGAGGTGATGGTCAAGGCTGCCCTCCATCAGCTTTACACTCACCAGTTCCACTGCTAAGAGGCCCTCCCCTCCCCTTTTTCATTTCCACCCACTGGAAGTCAGGTTCTACCTGTGCATGCTTTCCATAATGATCCTAACTTAAGCCTTGTTTTTTTCTAATACCCTGCAAGAGGGGCAGGGTGGCCTGGAATGAGGACCACCAGCAAAGCATTCTCATACCCAGTCCCTCTGGGCCAGACTGAGGCCCTGCCTACATTTCCATCGAGAAGCCTGCTGGTATGAACCTGAACTTCCTTTGCCTTCTTTTTCTTTTGGCAGGCGAGTTCAGAATGTCCACACGGGCCTGGACCTTACTGTGCCCCAGCACCAGGAGGTGCGGGGCAAGATGATGTCGGGCCACGTGGAGTACCAGATCCTGGTGGTGACACGGCTGGCTGTATTTAAGTCAGCCAAGCACAGGCCTGAGGATGTCGTCCAGTTCTTGGTGAGCTGGGGGCTCTGGCCAGGGTCCGGGTGGGGAGGTATCTGGGGATTTGCTTAGACACACCTATCCACCGGGGTGTCAGTCAGTAGAATCAGTGAGAGGGCACTCACTAAGGGTCTGTGAGTTCCTGACCCATGTTTGTGTTTGCACACCAGAGTGAATCAGGCCTAGCTGGTTACAGTCCATGGGGAGACAGACTTGTGAAGACAGACACAGATGGTAATGGGAGCACACAGTGGGTTGGGGGGCTATGAGGGAATACAGAAGGGACACCTCATCCACCCTGGGGAAGGGGGTCCCAGAAGACTTCTAGGAAGAGGGCTGAGCTGCATCTTAAAGAGAAGTTAGAGTACATGAGCCATAGCCTCATCTACCCTGAGACCAGAAGGACTAGATGGTGCCCAGCTACCACTACCAACCATTCTGATCAGGACCACAATAGATGGACCCTGACAGAACAGGAGAAAAAATATGGTGCAAAACTCAAATTCTTAAAAAGTCCAGACTTACTGAATCAGTTGAGACTGGAGGACTCCCTGAGACTATCTCCCTAGATACTCTTTAAACCTTGAACCAAAACTATCTCCTGAGATCAGCGAGATAACAGATTGGCACACAAAATAAAGGATATTATCCCCGTGTATGATGCTCCATTAAAAAAAAGAAAATCTACGTGAGACAATGATTAACTCTAAAGCAAAGATGAGAAGATAAGGGGGCAGGGAAACTAGAGTAATGGAAATGGAACAATCAGAGTGCAATTAAGGAGAATGTTGACACACTGTGAAAAATGTAACTAATGTCGCTGAACAATTTGTGTAGAAATTGTCAAATGGTAACCTAATTTGCTGTATAAATTTCACTGAAAACAATAAAAAAAAATATTTTAAAAAAGCAGATGGGAACTAGCAGAAGAAGGGGGAGGAGGGTGTTTTAGGCCAAGGACAAGCCACAGAGGCGAGAAGCAGGGGGTGTGGGGAACTCTGAACAGTTGAGCATCACCCTAGATCAGATGGGAGAAGGTGAGGGTGGATGATGGGCAGGATCCAGGTCATGGAGGGCCGAGCAGGGAGCCTGACTTGTCTTGCAGCTAAAAAGGAGTTGTAAGCCGGAGAGTGACATGGTCACGTTTACATTTCACTGGCTGGGCTGGTGGGGGAGTGGAATTGGATTAGAAGGAGCAGGACTAGGGGTGGGGACCCCATTTAGGAAGCTAGTATGGTAATCTCCAAGGTGAGGGCTTGGCCAGCTGTAGTTGGAATGGAAAGGATGGAGAGGGTTGAGAATATTTACCAGATAACATCTGCATGGGGCAGTGGTGGTTCAGTGGTATAATTCCCGCCTTCCACGCGGGAGACCAGGGTTTGAGTCCCTGCCAATGCACCTCATGTGCAGCCACCACCCATCTGTGAGTGGAGGCTTACGTGTTGCTATGATGTTGAACAGGTTTTAGTGGAAATTCCAGACTAAGGTAGACTAGGAAGAAAGGCCTGGTGATCTACTTCCAAAAAGTCAGCCAGTGAAAACCCTATGGATCACAACAGTCCAATCCTTTTTGTTGTACATGGGTTCACCATGAGTCAGGGCCCAACTTGATGGCTGCTAACACAACATCCACATAATTTGCTGGCTTGTTTCCACCAACTGAAATAAAAAGCACCAGTGGCAGGCAGATCAAAGGGGGACGTGTTGAGTGTGAAGTGTCTGCCCTGTGGAAGGATGTACGAGGCTGGAGCTTGGGGGAGGGGTCAGGCCTTGGATACAGATTTGGAAGTATCTGGGCATGGATGAAGTTGCCCACAAAACTGTGGTGGAGGGCAGAGAGAAGGGCTGAGGAGGGAATTCTGGGGAACTCCAGAAGTTCAGGGACAGTCAAGGAAGAGAACTCTACAAATGAGGCAGAGGGAAGAAAGCTGGGAGACTGCAATCACAGACGCTAAGGGAGGAGAGAGTTTCAAGAAGGGTGAGATCAGATTCATTTATTTGTTGTTTACCCAGAGAGAGTCCTTTTTACAAGACCAAGAGAGGCCACATGGTTACTAGGATAAAGATAAAATGAGCAAGAGTCATGCAGTCAAGAGGTAACAACAGTTGTGACAGGTCATAGCTGCAGGTTTGCATACAGGTTGGTTCTGAATCATTTGGCAGGCAGGACAAAAAGGGAAGCAATGAATTACATAGCTCTTGTCGTAGTCACCTAGTCCTACTATAACAGAAATACCACAAGTGGATGGCTTTAACAAACAGAAGTTTATTCTCTCACACTTTAGGAGGCTAGAAGTTCAAATTCACGGTGTGAGCTCCAGGGGAAGGCTTTCTCTCTCTGTTGGCTCTGGGGGAATGTCCTTGTCATCGGTCGTCCTCCACTGAGGAGCTTCTCAGCAGGGACTCCGGGTCCAAAGGACAGGCTTTTCTCCTGGCTCTTGTTTCTTGGTGGTATGAGGTCCCCCTAACTCTGTCTCCTTGCTTCTCTCTATTATATCTCAAAAGAGATGGATTTAAGATACAACCTAATCTTGTAGATTGAGTCCTGCTTCATTAACATAACTGTCTCTATACCTGCGTCATTAACATCATAGAGGTAGGATTTACAACACAGGAAAATCACATCAGATGACAAAATGGTGGGCAGTCACACAATACTAGGAATCATGGCCTAGTCAAGTTGGGACACATTTTTGGGGGATACAATTCAAACCATAACAGCTCTCATTACCTGTTAAAAGACACACCAAATTCCAAGAGGAGTTTTATATGAATCTTTCATGGGTAGTGTCTAAAATAGTAAAAATATCAACAGTATTTTTCATCTGAGTGTTTCTTACACTGTTTGTGAGAGCCAGGTGTAATGTCTGTCAGGTGATGGTTCTGTGTTTGCACTGCTCCGGGGAGGCTTTGCTCTGCACAGCAGCTTTCAGCTTCCAGGTAATCTGACTTAATGCAGGATGGGGCTCAATGCACCCACATTTTCAGGAAGACAAGCAGCAGAGGAACGTATCTGAGATTGATATCTCTGGTTATGACAGAGATAAAGTGTACTAGGAGCCCTCGAGGAGTGCCCAACCGGCCCCCTCTATCCAGTGCAGAGAGCTAGCACTACACGTGAGGGTGTAAATGGGGCCAGTTTTCACATCTTTACGCATCGTACCATGCCTTGTGATGGGGTAGGGGTGTATGCACAGGAGTGTGCGTGCGTGCGTGCGTGCGGGTGTGTGTGCAGGTGCTTCTCAAACATTTTGAAGTACCTGCAAGAGCCAAGGAGAATTGTCATGTCCTCCCTGTTGGATCTGAGGGTGTAGCCCAAAGTGCCTACCTCAAGCATGAAATCTATTTGACATTTCATGATTTAACTAAAAAATCTAGTAAGCATTTTGCATTCTACTTCTTAAAAAGACATAATGTTTTAATATAAAACCGTGTGTAATTGTTAACCGTGGAGGAAAACCAGCCTTCCAGAAGGGCACTGTATGTGTTTGAGGCTTTGCTGACACCCCACGTGTGCTTGCAGTGAGGCACACACGTTTAGGTAGAGGGACGTGGGGTAGCGGCACTGTATGCTCACCATCCTGCCCAGTGCCAGCACACAGGAGGCACCAGATAAATGCTAGCCCCCGCCCTCTGTGCTCTCTGCCCTGAATGCCTCTTGCTTAACCTCCTGTAGTTGCTAGTGCAGGTAGCTACCTGAGAAAGCACTTACTTTGGAACACTGATGAATGTGGGCTCTGGGTGGGGTGGGGACCCCCAACTTACAGCTCCCTGGAGCCTCACATTGCCAGTGCCCTGGAGACCCGAGGCTTCCAGAACCCCATTCTGGTGGGTCTGTGGGCCAGGGATGCATGGGACAGTCAGGCCAGCAGAGGGCGCCCGACCCCCATAGTGGCCCGCTTTGCCAGGAGCAGGTTTCCTGAATCGTGCTCTGGCTGGAGTCTCTGGTTTCTCAGATCACCTCAGGGGCTGGAGCCTGCGTTACTCAACTACTTTTGTGAAAGAATCCTCTTGCCTTTTTTTTCTTGAGGTCTGTTGTCAGGAAAGCTCTGGAGCCAGGCTCTTGTGCCTGGTGTTGACTACTGTGGGCAGCAGCTCCTTTCCCCCAACAACTCCCCATTCAGGTGGCTCTGAAGCCCCTCACCCCAGCCACCTCCCAGCATCTGGCACCCTCGCAGCTGGGGTTCTGGGTGATCATCTTGGTTAGTCAAGAGCGCGGGCTTCAGACACCCTGTGCAGAGGAGATGCTGGGTTCCCGAGTGTGAATACATCAGATCCCCTGTGGTCAGTTAGCCACACAGCAGCTTTTATAGCGGTGGCTGAGGGCACAGCCTGTCCGGGGAGCATCAGTGTGAACAGTCATGTGCTTACCCTCAGTGGCCTCGCTGGGGAGTTGGGAGACAGGCACAGTACATGGGGAGAACACAAAGGGGCTCGGGGTGAGGGTGGATGTGGGGCTGGTGGTGGAGGGTGTGGGTGACTGTCCTCTGAGCACCCATGTTAGGCTGCACAGACCTCAGTGCTGACACAGCCCACCATCCTGGGACTTCTCACCCTCTCTGGTCTCCCCTCCGAGACTGGGAGTCTTTAGGGGCAGAGACTATGTCGGGGTGCCACCATACAGAGTAAATGCACAACAAAAGCTTGTTAAGTGAATGAGCAAACCCTGTGCTGCCTTGGGCATGCTGGGGAGAGGCAGAAGAGGAAGTGAGGTCAGCCAGCACCCAAGACCACCCTCTAACAGCCAGCAGGAGCCCTGACCCGATTCACCACGTACAGAGGCATGTACCTGATTTACCATGTCCCAGTGTACAGAGGAATCGCCTAATCGCCCTGGTTGATTACAGGGCGGAGAGACCAGCTTTGGCAATATCTGGCTCTTCACCATCTAACCACTTGTAAGGACTAGCCCAACCAGAGGCTGCGTTAGTTCATGGGAGAATGAGCAAGGGATCTGTGCTGAGAACAGGTGACTCATGGTGTTGCGGGAAGATGACCTCATAGCCTGCCAGACTGTGCAATCACCCAGCTAATGCGCTGTAAATCTGCAATGGAGGCGGCAGCGGTGGTCGCCTGCAGGCCAGGCCTGGCCAGAGTCCCTGTATCAAATGTCTTTACCTAGCCCTGTCACAGTGCCTGGAATCTCACCGTTATTGCATCTTTCCTTTGGACTACTAAAACTCTTGTAATTGAGTCTGCCATTGACTAGAAGGGCTAAGGAATGGAGCCTGAGGCAGGGAGATGGCAGAGGATAAGGAGGCAGGCATAACCAAGAGAGCCTGCTCCTTCACCCGGCCCCTCCTGTGGCAGGCTAGTCCTTGGGGAGGACTCTCCAAATAGGCTGGCCCTCTTGGGGTCTCTGGGTGGAGCAAACGTTTCGTGCTTGGCTCCTAATCTAAGGGTTGGCAGTTTGAACCCACCCCGCAGCACTGTGGAAGAAAGGCCTGGCAATCTGCGTCCATGAAGATTAAAAACAAAAACAAGTTGCCATGAAGTCAATTCTGACTCATGGCAACCCCATGTGTTTCAGAGTAGAACTGCATTCTGTACAATTTGGAAACCCAATGGAGCAGTTCTCCTCTGTCTTATAGGGTCGCTGTGAGTCGGAATTAACTTGACAGCGGTGGGTTTTTTTTTTTTTTAAATGCTCTTTTGGAAGTAGATCATCAGGCATTTCTTCTGAGGCACCCCTGGGTGGATTTGAACCACCAACCTTTCAGTTAGTGGTGAAGCACTTAACTGTTTGCATCACCCAGGGACTCCCTATAAAGATTACAGCCAAGAAAACCGTACGGAGCCAGGGCTTTGAACTGGTTCATTCCGATTTGACTCCCTGTTGAGAATTTGCATTTCCACTCCAGATACACTGAATCAGAATCAGCATTTTAACAAGATACCCAGGTGATTCTTTCCCCACAAGAATCACGTGGGGAAATCACTTGGGGAGCTTGTTAAAATTCTTATGTATACACAAGAATTACCTGGGGAGTCCTGTCAAAATTCTTATGCATTCTTAAGAATCACCTGGGGATCTTGTTAAACTGTAGATTCTAGAAGGACTGGAATGGCTCAAGGGAAAATCGACATGGGTTGAAATCAACACAAGATGTGCCTCTGCCTGGTGCCACCCCCAACCCTCCCTGAGGGGGCACAGGCTGCATATGAGGTATACATAAGAATCACCTGGGGATCTTGTTAAACTGTAGATTCTGATTCAGTGTATCTAGGGTGGAAATGCAAATTCTCAGCAGGGGGTCACACCGGTTCCACCAGAATGAACCAGTTTGAAGCCCTGTATGGAGCAGTTCTACTCTGTAGCACGTAGGGTTGCCATGAGTCAGAATCGACTCGACAGCAGTGGGTTGGGTTTTTTTGTCGGCTTGGGACCTCTGGTTGGGTTGAGAGAGGAGCACTCTCCCTTTTACTCTTCACTCAGGAATTCACCTGCCCCTCTCATTCCAGGTCTCCAAAAAATACAGTGAGATTGAGGAGTTTTACCAGAAACTATGCAGTCATTACTCCAAGGCCAGCCTCCCCCCACTGCCCAGGAAGGTCCTGTTTGTTGGGGAGTCTGACATCCACGAGAGGAGAGCCATGTTCGATGAGATTCTGCGCTGCATCTCCAAGGATGCCGAGTTGGCAGGCAGCCCAGAGCTGCTAGAATTCTTAGGTACCCACCACTCTGTCGCAAGTCCTCGTGGTTTCCCCTGGCACGGAGCCAGGCCTTGCTGCCCTGGCTAGTGGTAGAGAGTCCGTGGCTGCCCTCTGCAGCCCAGAAGCTTCAGGCCAGGCTGCTGAGACATCCTTGGGCTGGGGTGGTGGGCAGAGGAAATTTGGGCCCTTGAGGAACTGACAGACTAGGTGCCAGATGAGGCTCTCACAGAGGTGTTCTTCCTTGTCTGACCCCAGCCACGCCCCTCCTGGCCAGCCCTGTCCCTCAGAGCTCCCCTCCCTGCCTCTCCCTCATCCCCCGACCAAGACAGTATTCACAGAAAGCTGTGCACTCACAGCCAGGCTGGTGACCTGGCCCCTGGGGACACCTCATACTCAGCCTGTGCCTTCTCGGGGAGGGTTAGGGGTGGCTCCTGGCAGAAGTGCAGCCTGTATTGATTCAGCCCACCCTGCTTTTCCCAGTAACGGAGGACCTTGAGCCCTTCCAGTGTGTGTCCCAGCCCCCTCCCTTCACTTTTTAGCTTTCTTGTCTGCAAAATGGGGAAAATATTAGCACTTGCCTGACAGGGATGATTGTGACAAGTAAATGAGCTAAGAAACATAAAGCCCTTAGAACAGAGCCTGCGGCATAATGAATGCTGAATTTCACCACCCCCGATTGCTGTCGCATTGACCCCGACTCATGGTGACCCACGTGTGTCAGAGGAGAACTGTGCTGCATAGAATTTTAAATGGCTGATTTTTCAGAAGTAGATCACCAGGCCTTTCTGCCAAGGTGCCTCTGGATGGACTCAAACCTTCAGCCTTTCAGTTAGCAGCCACCCGTGTTAACTGTTTGACGCTGCCCAGGGACTCCTAAGGGTGATTTTTAAAAAGTGAATGCTTTCAAAGATACAGTAAACACTGTGAGAGCTGGAACCTATGTAAGGAGGAGACCTGTCAGAGAAGGAAAACTCAAATATTTTTTCCACTAAAACAAGTGATAGAAAAGTGGTAAGACTGCACCCTGTCAAAGGCAGAAAACTCACGAGACCCGGAAAAACAAGGCAGGGCCGGCGAGTTCCAGCTCTCACAGGTTTCAGTGTATATTACTCAGTAACTGTTTGGACATAGGCGAACACGTAGTCCAAACCTGCGCTTCTCAACCTATGCCCCAGGAAGGACTGGTTTTTCATCTCAGCCTGTCACAGTCGATACTTTAGTAAATACAGCATCACACAGGTGCTTGTTGTGACGATGGCTGTGAGTGAGTGCCTGTCTCCCTTCTGTACTTACCTCACTGTGGACACCACCTGTAGGCCACGCTTTGAGAAATGCCGATCTAAGCCAGTTTGTAATGGAACGGTCATCGTTCCTTCTGGAACCTTCCACATGCTCACTCTGCGCCCTCGTCGGGCCCATAGTCCAATTGCGCAGACCCTTGGAGTGGATCTCCATTCATGGTTGGATTGGCAGAGCTCCTTGACATACCCTACGACTGTGTAAAATGTTTCTGGAAGTGTCGGTTCTATGTGAATCGCCCTATACACGGTCTGGTTTGTCTCCCTATCAGCCAAGTGGAGGTAGGGTCTGCCACCCCTGCCTCACAGACAGGCTCCGAGCCTCAGCCATTCAGGAACGATTGCCTTCATCTTACTGTGAACTCCCTTGTGGAACCTCTCTGCTCTCGGCCTCTGTGGTGCCCATCAACCCTTCAGGGTCTGCACCCCAGGAATCGTTGTCACCTCCCACGCACACGACCCACCGTGCTGGCTCGTGACCAGGCTTGGTCCCAGGATGCTGCCTCACCCCAGACACCCTCACACCAGAGCACCTCCCTCCCCACTGGGTGATCGTCAACTCTCCTCTCTTCCGTCGTCTTCCACAGGCACCAGGTCCCCAGGGGCGGTGGATCTCGCCAGCAGAGACGTCTCCATCCTGGATGCAGACAGCCAGGCAGGGGATGATGGGGAGGCTTTCGATTTCTTCGGGCAGCAGGATGGAGTGGCGGGAGAGAGTCTGCTGATCCTGGGCCTGAAGGGCAAGGATGCCGGGAACCCCTTGGAGGAGGAGGAGGAAGAGGAGGTGGCATTGGACCCTCTGGGAATCATGCGGTAGGTCTCCCCTGCAGAGAGAGCATCTTTCTCCCTGTTCCAGGCTTTCTGGAGAGGGCTCCTCCTTCCCTCCCGGGCATTGAGAAAGCACCTATGCCCCTGCTCAGTGCCCACAGGGTCTGGGCAATCAGGCCTTGGCCTGCATGTTTAGGAGGAGTGTCTCAGCTCAGCCTCCACTTCGCCTGTGTCTTTGCCTGCCCCTCCCTGGTCATAGGGCATCCCCGCTGGCTTTGCAGAGGCCTGTCAGCTGCCCCCCCATGACAGCAGCCCTTGCTGTCGGGACCCATCAGGCAGGCAGCAGGAGGCCTGGGTTCTCCATCCGTCTCTTCCTAACAGCTGTGTGACTTGAGCTGTCTGGGTCTTGTTTCACTGTCTGTAAAATAAAACCAAACCAGTTGCCATGGCGTCGATCCCATGCTTGGCGGCCCTGTGTCTGTCAGGGTAGAACTGAGTTTTATAGGGTTTTCAGTGTCTGTGATCTTTCAGAAGTAGATCACCAGGCTTTTCTTATTAGGCACCTCAGTAAAACACTCCAACCTCCAAACTTTTGGTTAGTAACTAAGCACTTAACCATTTGTCCTATCCAGGACATCCTCACTATCTGCAAAATGGGGATTTTATCTTGGCCCTGCCTCCCTGTAGGACAGTAGCTAGGCTCCTGTGACCCATGAGGCGTCATCTGCGTGTACTGCGGGAAGGCAGAGGGAGCCCTGGGTGCCCTGGCCCGTGGACTACATCCGTTCATGCACACACGCTGACCAGAGAAGATGAGGTGGGCCAGCTGTGATCTTGGTGGTCCCTCTGTTGCTTTTCCATTTCTGGCCCTCTGACTCCCTCCAGCCAATCAGTGGGCTGCTCCTGAGTCCCCACTGTGTGATCACCCCTGTACTGGCTGTGAGGAGGGGCGCAGGCCAGATGAAGGAGCCAGCGAGCCGCACATCTGCCACCTCAGCCCCCACAGTGGGCACAGCTGAGACATGGCCAGACCCTCCCACCCAGAAGAAGCTAACTTCCTTGGGGGAAGCCAGGGCACTCAGCCACTCCCAGGGCCCTCATCTTTTTTCTTGGTCCAAACTTGTAAGAAACAAGGTGAGAACTAGTGTGTCTCGAGCACTATGTGCTGGCCATTGTACTTGGCACCTCACATACTGTATCTCACCAATGTCTTACAAGTAGCTGTTGTTATCCCATTTTACAGATTGGAGAAACCATGGCTTGTGGAGGGCAGGTACCTCCCAGAGGTCAGACAACTGGTAAACACAGGCTCTGGGGATGGAGCCGAGTTTATGATCATGCCCTGTGGAGCCAGGCTGTGTGGGCACGAATTGTGGCTCTGCCTTTTACTAGCCTGTGTCCCTGCAGCATACATCTCTCATTAGTTTTCTTCAACAAAAATAGGGTAACGATAGTACCTGCTTCTCAGGGGTCTCGTGAGGACTAAATGGATTAATGTATATAAGCCATATTGTCAGCACTCTGTAAATGTTAGCAATTAGCTGTGATTAGAGCCACGCTCCTACCCCACTGCCTCTATAGGACCAGACCCTAGACCAGAGATGTCCTCCTCACTGTCATCATTAGTGCCCTTAGAGAGTTAGTGAAATCTTAAGTCAGCAGGTGAGTGGGGCCTCTCATAGGGCCTGTTACAGAAAGGAATTGGAGCCAGTTAGGAGTCACGCAGTGGGCACATTGAGCTGAAGTCAGCATGAAAAATATGATCCTGAGGCTTTAAGAAGCACTGGGGCACTCTCCTGGTGGCATGTGTGAGAGGGTGGGAAAGTGGGTGCATACAGTGGAGAGTGGGGTGTGGGAGTGGGCCGGCTGACTGGGAGATAAGGTGAAGGGGTGAGGCTTCACTTTACAGTCAGGCCCTCAGGGCACCTGAGCATCTCGACTAGGAAGTCGGCAGGGGCCAGAGCAGGAGGGTCTGCAGATCCTTGGCGTGTGGCGTGCCCCAGATGCAGGCCCTCCCAGCCCTGCACGCCCGGGCCTTGTCCTGGACAGGGTCAGTGGCCCTGTGGAGGGGCAGCCAGGATGGCGGGGTCATGTGGGGAGACGGCCTGCCCGGAGCGGCCAGGAGAAGCTTATAATAGCCATCCCTTATCAGCCTTGCCCAACCCTGCAGGCCCTTCTCGGGCTTTGTTTTGGTAAGGATAAGGCTTTGTTTGAACTCACGTTCTCTGTTGTTCTGAGTAACCACATGTAATGCCCAACTGAGACAGGCTGGTGGTTTGCGCCAGTCTTTGGCTGAAGGACGTGCTCAGCATAGTGGCTCCTTTTTTGGGTAGGAAAATGCTCTTTGGGGTTGGCAAGTGCTGCCTTGAATTTCCTACTTACTCCAGTAGCAGATGGTCAGGGGCATGTCAGCCGGCCAGGGACCACCTGCCTCCCAGCTCTCCCTGTCCCCAGCTCTGCCCCCCAGGGACGTTTTCTTGAATCCCATACTGGGTAAGCGTAGCACCTAGAGAGGAACACCAGAGGCTGAGGACTCGCCCCTCCCAATGTTTCTTTTAATGAGCAGTATGAAATACAGACACCTTTTACCGCTGTCACCTCCGTCTGTAATAACAGCTAACCTTTTCTGAGAGCTTGTTAAATGCCAGGACCTGGGTTAGCATTTGCTTACGTCATCTCATTTTATCTTTTAAGACAATATTTCTGAAACTTTTTTGTTACGACCCACAGTAAAAATTACATTGTATATTATGACCCAGTACACACGTATGTATGTACACACACGTAGATAATATACATGGTTGTTAGATGCCATCGAATCAGATAGATATATATATATATACACATACACATATATATGCACGTGTATACGTGTGTGTGTGTGTGTGTGTGTGTGTATATATATAGAGAGAGAGAGAGAGGGAAACCCTGGTGGCTTAGTGGTTAAGAGCTACGTCTGCTAAGCAAAAGTTCGGCAGTTCGAATCCAGCAGGCGCTCCTTGGAAACCATATGGGGCAGTTCTGCTCTGTCCTATAGGGTCAGTATGAGTCGGAATCGACTCGACGGCAACGGGTTTGGTTTGGTTTATGTATATGGAGAGAGAGATGTATGTATATATATACATAGAGAGAGAGAGATGTAAACTGAAACAAAAGCTTCGAGAACTCATACTGAGCCTTACTAAGTGTGTTGTATTCTTGATATTTTCCATTCTGTTTCATTATTTTTTGAACTGCATTCACAATCCATTATGGGTCCAGTTGGAAATGGTGCTCTAGGTGGCTGATGGCAATCAACCTTATTTTGTGTGTGAGGAAACTGAGGTTTGGGACGTTGAGTAAATGCTTGTAGCCAGCAGATGGCAGAGCCAAGACTGGACCCCACCTCTGTGCTGCTGGCCCACATTCCCATCTCTTAGCAGCTTGGGAGGTGGGCAGGGACTAGGATTACTCCCCTTTCACAGATGGGAACATCGAGGACAGCATTGAGCAGGGACTTGGCCAGAGCCTTGTGTGTGGCAAAGCTGTGCCTTGAAGTGGGGCTCCCCTCAGCCTCTCCGGGGACATCCAGGTGGGTTTGTTGACCCTCTTGCTTTAGGTTTCTTGCAGTCCTACCCAGCTGCCCTTTGGTAGAGAACATTCTGTTCTTTCCAAGTGGCTTGTGTTTCTTAGGCATATTTCTTCATCTCCTGCCCTCTGTTCCTCTGCAGATGAAGCAGCCCTGTCTCCCAGCTCTGCACCCCCGCCTCCCGCCAAGACTAGGCCTGGCCCTGGGCCTTTCTGGAGCAGCCACTGTTTCTGGGTGGGCAGGACTTGGCCTTTCCCTGCCGTGGCCACAGCGGGGTGCTGTTGCTCTGCTGTGGGGCTGCGTGGCCGGGTGGGAGTCGCCAGCACAAAGCCGGAGCACGCTGGCCTGGCTTTTCTTTGTCTTTTAAACAAGGTTTTGATTACTGAGAAGACAACATTGCTGCATCATTAGAGAACACTTAAAGATAGAAAAAGCCCTCACTGGGTCCAGCCCCATACTGTGCTCCCCTTATTTACTAGGGTTTTTGTCTGTCCCTGCCCAGCACGTGCCACAAAATTGCAGGCATAGTGTACATGCCTTTTCATATCCTGCTTTTTCACTCAATGTTCTGTCCTGATCGCTTTTCCACATTGCACATAGTTTTCATATTTAACTTCCTATTTTAGAGACTTCATGGTTCTGAGAAAAATGAAGTTTTGCCGTAATAGTCCTGTCTTCTGCTGGAAATATTCTGCTCGACACATGTTCAATTATATGTCAAATACTATGTGATTCACCAAAAAAAAAAAAAAAAACCCCGTTGCCGTCGAGTCAATTCTGACTCATAGGGTTTCCAAGGAACAGCTGGTGGAGTCCAACTGCCAACCTTTTGGTTAGCAGCTGAGCGCTTAACCCCTGCGTCAATATATGGTTATTACAGAAAAATTAAAAATGAGGTAAAAGTCCTTCCCCTAAGGAAATACACACTTTTGGATATTCGTGTTTTATTACCAAAATGGCATCATGATATATGTGTGCCATTCCCTGATTTGCTTTTTTCAGTTTATATACCGGATCTTTCCAAATCAATAAATATACTTCTACATTCTTATTCTGTGCTTTTCCATCAGGCTGATGTGCTGTAATTGGCATAGCCAGACCCCTGCTTGTGGGCATTGTAGTGTTTCTGTAGGGTGATGCTATTCTAGCTGATAACTTGAAAGACTTTTTCACATACAGAGCTTTTATTTTGTTGAGCTTTTTCCCCAGATACACGACCCAGGGTCAGGTCCCCAGAGCTTCTGGTGGGAGCTCTGGTTGGGCCACTCAGGTAGAGGGTTCCTTTGGGACAGAACACCCCTTTGTCAGAGGGCCCCTCTGCTCTTCTAAACTCTGCCCCTCACAAGCCCCGGCTCCATCACACCCTTCCCCCTGCCAGTTTTCCTGGTACACAGGGAGCCTCTCCCTCCAGGTCCCTGTCTGCCATGGGAAGACAGGCTGTTTCCTGAGTATGAACTGCCTTACTGTAAGCCTGGGC